TCAAAAAAACTTTTGATTATCTACAAAGAGTAAACCGCTGACAAATGTCTGTATACTAATGCCAATGTGCAAAATACAAATTAAATACCAAAATTTTTCATATAATGCCCCACTAAAGCCAAGCTGATTCAATATAATACCACTAATACTAAGAATAATATGTAACACATTTGTTTCACGCATTAACCTGTAACAGTACTGGTAGGTACGTGCACAGATTTTTTCATAGGTAATTTAAAAGTCGTTAAAAGTCTAATTATATTTAAGAAGATATAATTCAATAAATTGCTGTGGGGCCAATAATGCACAAGTAATACCATTAAAATTTTAGCGTTTTAACTTGTGTAACATATTTCTTTAACGGATTAACCTGTAACAATAGTGGTAGGTGCGCACAGATTTTTTCGCTAGGTAACTTATTAGGTCGTTAAACAGGCCTATAAAAGCTATAACAACATAGTAACTAATATTTATAATTTAATTCGAGGTTTAATCTCAAATAATAAATGTTTTACTGGTGTATTTCTGAGGTGTTCATTATTAAAAGTAGATATTCTTCAAGTTATGCGAAGTAATAATGTTTCCGGTGAGACCGCGTATATGTCACCAGATTCTGGTTGAATCAAGACTTTTTCTATAGAAGAGTTTTTTTATTTTCCTTTCAAAATAAGACTAATTTCTTCTTATTCTTTTAAATATTACAGTGTTTCTTTTCCTAAAATGTTATACTTAATTTTCGCTTAGAATTAAAAATCTAAATGGAGGAGAAAAATATACGTTATTGAACAAAGTTTATATAAATCACTTTACCATAACGAAAAAGTAAAAACATGTCATGGCGGAAGATATTCAGGTGGCATTTCACACGTTTATCTATTAAAATCGAGATTAAAATAATAAACTTGCGTAACATGTTATACACAGATAGAAGTTTCAGAATCGATTAATACGCAATGCGCTACGCAGTCAACTTATTCCCATGCGCGGATGAGCGTCTTCAAGACTCTTCCTTCGGCCAGGGTCACGACGCCGCCGAAGAAGAATCGGCCTACGTTTGGCTAAACAGGCTGGACACGGTGGACTACGATATTGGCGAGTCTGAATATTTATAAAAATTTGCAAGTAAAATATGTTGGAAAAATAATTAATCCATACATATATAAAAAGCTCAAAAGGTTTTTTTTTTTTTTTTGTTGTATCCATCCCGTCAAAACCGCTTTACCAATCTTGATTATTCTTTTTAAATGAAAGGTATATATGTGTAGATTTGTTGCGGAAGTATTTTTATAGTTAACTTAAAAATACTTTTTTTTTTGTTTATAAATGAGGTTTAAATTTTTTTTGTGTAAAACGACTAAATACTAAAACATACCCGAAAAACACCTACACACAATACCTCCACTTAAATAAATTATTTGTCATTGTCAGTGGTGTGTCAGTTAGATTATATTACGTTTTTTAGATATTTTAGGTGTCAGTTCATGCCATAGCCTTACATACATAAATATTAGCACAGAGGTTCGTTTAAACGACATTAGTGAATTAGCTACACAAAAAGCGATTTTAGGAAATTCATCCTCTTAGAGAGTAAAAATTATCTCGGAACAGTTTGCTGTATGAAAATTCATTACTATCTGGTCTAGAAGAATGAAATCCCACAAAAAGAATTAGAGAAGAGAGATTTTTGAAATTCATCAACCAAATGGTAAAGTTAGTAAAAATTTATATAAAACTTGGTGACCTCTGGATTATACACACACATAAGAAATGGGCACAAAGATGCAAAAAGCAATTTATAAATTTATTACCCTTAGGAGGGGTAGAATAGGGAATGAAAGTTTGCTGTATTATGTACGAAAATGCAATATTATAACATTATAAACCAGACAGTATAAAATTTTATACATTAGTAAGAAAGTATTAGTGCTCTTAATAAATAAAAAAAAAAGATGAAAAATAAAAAAACATCTATGCTCACTAGCTCTCTATAAAGTAAAATCATTTAAATCAATGCATGAACGATTCGAGGTGTAACGCGAACGTAGTCACGAGAAAAAGCTAGTAATTTATTTTGTTGCTGTTAATTTTCATTGAAAAAGAATTTTGTAATTCGCCACTATATTAGTTAAAAACTAACAAACTCATATCAAATTTAAGTTTTGATTTGATTTACTTTTAAAATCTGAACACATTTAAAAGAAAAAAGTTTGATAATATTTGTGTAGATTGACTACAAGTTGTATAACATAAATTTCTACGACCCGTCTACCTAGTGGTCTGCAACATCGCCTTGTGGTGCAAACGTGGGCCTGTTAATCTGTGACGTGACGCACAACAGCCAAGGAAAATAGAAGCGTGGCTAAAATTTAGTAATTTAAAGTCTTTTAGATACAGTAGGTATTAAAAAAGTTTTGTGTTTAAATGGGGTTTGCCTTTAACAGTTAAAATTATAATATCGTAAGTGTAACTTTCCGTAGAATTCTTTTTTGCTTGTTTACGGATAGGTGCGATCGCATAAGTATTATTGATAATGTTTTATTTAATTTTAACATTACTACTTTTTCAGTGAATCTTTAAATCTGTTGTTTTTTGTTAAGTTCGTTATTTAAACATATGTATGTAATACACTCATATTAACACTAATCATATTTTACGTTTTTATTCATCATTTTCAATGCCCCCGGTTGCATCTTTGTAAGGACTGTGAATTTTTTTTAATCTTTTTAAGTTTTTTTAATCCAATCAACTATTATACCCCATCATACAGTGTATAACTTATCATACATGGGGATCTTCCCTGTTGTAGAGGGGGACAACAGCGTATTTCTCATCTTCACTCTGACAACAGATGTTCATCCTCCTTGGAGTGGACCTCCTATGAGGGTATACACCCTTCCATGGTTGAGGTTTAGCCCTCCATGCCCTTCTGGCCAGTCGAGGAGCTTGTCTGGATAATCTGTCTCCATTTTCTCCACCTCTTGTCTCTTTTTCGATCTGATACAGAGGTTGTCCCGAATCTATAATAGAGGATATATCCCTCTTTCTCTATTGCCCCCTTGGATTTAAGGTCAATTCAACTTAAAAATGGTTAATCTGTCCACTTCTACAGATTCTATCGCAAGTAGAAGTAAGGGAGACGAGAATAAAATGGTTTTTGGTGAGGTTGTCTCCTCTTGGTCCAGGCTGTTAAGCTAAGATCCCCCACATCCTCTCATCCCGTAATACACGACCACAGACAGTAGAGGGTGCCTGGTATGACGAACAGGGCAGTCCTATCCGGCATCGTTATACGTCTTGGTGCAGTTCCCTGGCCACGACACTACAGACAGGGACAAGTCAATGACACAGAAGATATTCTGTGCCAATGTTCCTTAGACCCAGCCAAAGTACCAGAGGGGATTCCCCCTAGCACGTGACTAGGAGCTTCCCCACCAACGACAAAGTCTGGCCTCTCTTAGAGGAAGATTTTTAGTTTTACTTTATTAGGTAAAGGTGATCATGTAGTAATTGTTCATTTCAAATGTGGTTTCATGTCATGTCAATTTGGAAGTGTTAACGGTTTAAATAGATTTGTCTGCTAAAAAACTGAAGTAAATGTTCTCAGAGTGGTATTTAGATCTTTTATTAGTTTTTTTTGTTTTGGGTCTGTCATGGGTGGAAACATTCTCTTTGTGGAAAATTTCTTTTAGGAGTAAACGGCTACTGACAAGCTGGTTTAGTTTTGGATTCTACGCAGTGGCATTTTACAAAACATAACTTATATCTTTTCGATTTTTGTTTCACAGTGTGGAAATACCTCGGGAAATACCCACTAATACCCCCTCCCCCGGGCATTTGTCTAGAAATAAAATAACCGACTTTTTCTAAAAGGGTTTACACTGAACATTTGGAATTAGCGTGGATGTCACTTATGAAATCGCGTTTTTTGTTGGATGATTATTTGGTCATATCATATACAGATACAGATAGGTATATGATATAATTGAAATTAATTTAATTTATCTGACATTCTGTTGATGATTATTATCTAACGAATGAAGATATAATCTTGGGATTAAATACACTTAAAGTGTTTTAATATTTATCTGTAGAAATAATAATCGATATAATAAAATTACCTATAAGTCAATTATTGTTGTAGTCAATAAAAATATAATAATTTGATGTAACATAATAATCTTATTGTTTCGCTCCCAGTATAACGAAAGTCCTTCAATAAATTTTCTTCAACACCTTATCGTATTGTAAATTATTGTATAAATGATAAAAACTTTTTATTACTAATGTTTTTCTTATGTTAGGACATGACCTAGGACGAGATAATGATGCATTGAGAATCGGATGCTTTTTTTATCAATTGAAAGAGAATAATATTATCGATATTGTGTATCGGGGAAAAGGGCAAATATGTCATTCAGATTATTTGCAATTACGTTTTATGGTCATTATTGCTGATCAGCGGCGTTGCCAGTTGCATGTACAGATCTGTGCCACTTTGTTGTGATTTTGTAATTAGACTAATTAATAACATTTTTTTATTGACTTTTTATATATTATCTCCTCAAGTATATGAAGATATCGTGGATTGATAGAAAAAGAGCATACACAATATTATGGATGAATTTGTACTGGCAGCACTGTCACACAGTGAGGCCAATATCTTATCAGTTCTTATCAGGATTAATGAGCTCATTTGTAATCCAACATATTCACTATCCTGGAAATATAGACTATTAGAAATCATACTAGCCAAATATGTTACCTGTGGTTATACTTTTATGCACATCCTATACCTATTGCAATTTTTCACCAGATAATAATTTGTCCGCTTGAAGTATTTTAGTGCAAATAATTTCGGATATTTATATAAATTTTCTTAAGATAAATAATTATTTTCAATGATGGCATGCTATATATTTAAGTATATTTTCTCTAAAGTCTAAAGCTTTAACAGTTAAAGATACTCTAAGTACCTTACCTGTAGGGGAAGGTGGGGCGGAACGGGGTAGCGGGGTAGAACGGGGTACGCCATTAAAAAACCGAACGTCTAAACGAAAATATCCGAAATTGCACTGAAGGTCGCCTAAAAGCATGGGTCGCATGTTAGGTACGCCAGTAGTCCGAAAACCATCGAGCAAGAGGTTAGTCTCGTTATCATCTGGAATTTTCGTGTAGATTTATAACTTTGGCGTCCATATTAACCACCGTAAGTAATTTGCTTATTAAATTTTAATCTATTTCAGTTATGTAATGCAGAGAACGATTGTTTAGCAACTTTTTTATCACTTTAGATTTACTCTAGGTCATGTTTTTCTTTCAAAAATTTTACTTTAAAGTAAACGTTGCACATGGGGCAGAATGGGGTGGGGTACAATGGGGTACCCTGTTCTGCCCCGTTAAATGTCGTACTTAATTTAATATTTTTTCAGATGGTTAGAAATTATGTTCGGAAGACAAAGCGTCAGGAATGGTGTACCGAATCCATGAACGCAGCAGTTGATGTCGTTGTTAGTGGACAAATGGGGTATAGGAGGGCCGCAGAACAACATGGTGTGCCCCAAACAACTTTAGAAAGATATGTCGCGAAAAAAAGAAAGGATCAACAAAACTTTGTTGTTGATAAATCTGTTGGAAAATTTCGCAGCGTTTTTTCACAAGAACAGGAGATAGAACTTGTCGACTATTTAAAATCTATGGAATCAAGACTTTTTGGCTTAACCATGATGGACTTTAGACGTCTGGCTTTTCAATTAGCTATACGAAATCAGTGTCAACATAAATTTAATGCTGCATCTGAAATGGCTGGCAAGGATTGGATGCAGTGTTTTTTAAAACGCCACCCTACTTTGACGCTGCGAAAACCAGAATCAACTTCTGGAGCTCGAGCTATGGGATTTAATAAGGTTGCGGTAGCACAATTTTTCCACCTTCTTTTGGAAACAGTAGACAAATATAAGCTAGCTGGTGAACGCATTTATAACTGTGACGAAACGGGGTTGACTGTGAATCCAAAGGGCCATACCAAAATCTTAGCCTTGAAAGGAAAGCGTCAGGTTGGCACCCTAACTTCCGCCGAACGAGGAGAAACCATAACTGCTGAAATCTGTTTTTCTGCTGCTGGAGCATACATGCCACCTATGCTTATTTTTCCAAGAAAACGGAAGCAACAGTCATTTGAGTTAGGCTTGCCACCTGGTTCAGTAGTAGAAGTTAGTGATTCTGGATGGATAACCTCTGAACTTTTTTTAAATTGGTTTAAGCTATTTGTTACGTTTTCTAAAGCAACAAAAGAAAATCCAGTGCTTCTTTTGTTAGATGGACATGCAACCCATACCAAAAATATTGACCTAATTTTGCATGCACGTGAGAACGGTGTAATATTATTATGCTTTCCACCACACACAAGTCATAGACTGCAACCGTTGGACGTTTCCTTCATGAAGCCGTTAAGTACATTTTATGAACATGAAACTCGGACATGGCTGCGTTGCAATCCAGGAAAGGTAATAACCATTCTTCAAATTTCCACGCTTTTGGTAGTGCCTTTTAAACGCAGCCACCATGAAAACGGCGATAAACGGATTTCGCAAAACTGGGATTTTTCCACCCGATGAAAACGTTTTTACCGAAGTTGATTTTTTACCAGCTGCTACCACGGATATTACAAACAATACCCCTCCATCAGCCAATGATCCTTCTACTGCACCAAGAGCTCATACGCCAACGGAACCTTCAATTTCAATAACACCTCCCGCTACAAAAATATCTAATCTAAGAAAATCAACTAAATCTCCTCTAACTGTATCAGCAAGTGACATTTTAAATCCCCTACCAGGTTGCTCTTTATGGAAAGCGCCAAACGAATTTGCTGCCTCCGGTGTCAACAAAAAATCTTCTTTTCCCTGCTTGTCGCCAGAAGTTGCTTTACCTATTCCAAAAATCCAGCAAACAGTTAAGAGAGCTAATCGCAAGAGAGGTAAAACTGCAATATTGACCTCGACTCCGTATAAGGAAGAACTAGAGGCAGCAGCAGCTGCAAAAAAGGTTTCGCAAAAGATGAAAGAAGGCGTTAAAAGAAAAATTATTGGCAAAGAGAATAAGAGTAAAGCAAGTAACATTAAGAAAGTGAAGCGAAACCCTTCAAAGAAAGTGTCGATTAAAAAGGTAGATTCTGACTCATCTTCAGATGAAACTAGTGACGTAGAATGTCTTTACTGTTGTGAATACTGGTCCAAGTCTGTTGAAGGATGGATTGCCTGTTCAGCGTGTCACAAATGGGCACACAATGCCTGTGCCGGCGTTGATAGCGAAGACGACGAATTTGTGCTTGTTTGTGAACAGTGTCAATCCTAAGTGGATTTTTGTCTGATTTTGTCCAATGGTTTTACCTATTTTAATAAAAAAATTATAATAAAATTGTGTGTACTTAATATTACTACCATTTTTCACCATTAACGCTATATTTCAGAGGAAATCTAACCACATATTAATGAGATCTGGTAAAATATATAAAACCTCATCCTGCCCCTGCCCCTGGGGCGGAATGGGGCAAAATGCACCTTTTTGGTTTCTCATAATAATTTTCTTTAAAATATTTGTTTAACTGTTAAAAAAGGTGAGAGGCTTAATTTACAATATTTAGAAATACAACGATGCAAAAATATTTTTTTTTTGGTTAATATTGGGGTGACAGTTAACCATCAAACGTTAAGTACCCCGTTCTGCCCCGCCTTCCCCTATATCTAAATTGGAATGTTTTCTATCCATAATCTTCTACACTGACCAGTTGAGTTGGAATGTTTAATTCCCAATCAATCAAGCAAATCTTCAATTATAATTCTTGATTAGGATTATTAGACATATATTCATATTAGAGTTTCAAACAATTAAATGAGTGTCTCAAATGATTATACATAATGATAGAGAATTCTCAATGCGGGATTATATCGGGATATACAGAGTGAGTCTTAAATATGTGCAAATTTTTTTAGCGGTTCCAGGAAATCCCGGTACCGAAAATACCGGGAGTTGCCGATTTTTTTGAGACATTAAAGAACCGGAACTCGAAATTATTAACTCCTGGTTCTTTCGGTGCTTTCAAGGCTCGGTATGAACAATTAAAAAAATAGTTTTTGTTACGTGAGAAAGGCCATTGATACTTTCTAGCAGTCGAAATCAAACACTTCTAAATAAGTAGTGATGCTACAATATGATCGAAAAATACGCCGTCAGCGATAGAAAGCTATAAAATGAAGATCGCTGTTATTTTATATGAAAAATTATATGGGGAATGTCATCGATCGCCATTTCCAAGGTAGCTCAACGCCGTTTTTTATCATACGCTATCACTTATTGTTCTTACTTTTGAAGTTCCTGTAATGTTTATTAGCAATTATCGATATAATAAAAAATTAATATTAAAGTTTAAATACATGTTATATTTTATTATTTAGTATAATGTTGCTCAATCTATTAGATATATTTTATGTTATGCTTTTGGCAATTGCATTTTAAATTGAAAATGTACGGCTTCTTGTTAATTTAGTAAAGTTGGGTTATGTTGTTTGATGTAAATTTTAAGTTATTTATGTTTTTTTCGATTTGTTCTTCGCTTGTGTTCATGTTAATTTTTTCATAACTATTATTTTCATTTAAAACACAATTTTTTATCAATTTTACTTGGATACATCCCTTGTTTGCTGTTTGACGAACTGCATCATTATTGAACAACAATTCGCTAGTACCGAAAGTACCGAAAAAACAGGAAATTCCGGTTCCTTAGATCCGGATGTCGAAATTCCCGGTTCCAAAAAACAGCTCCGGTTCGAGAACCCCTACTAGCAAGTAAAACTGGTTGCATTAAACAATTTATCATCCCATCCTGAGATGCCAATATATACAGGTCTGTCTCAGATCTAAGGCCTGCAGATTTCAGAAAAGTAAACTCAAACTTTCTAGACAAAGACCGAAGTGTGATTTTTTGCCATTCTCGTTCAAAAGTTACTGTTAACAGTCTCTGATATATAATCTAGTAATAAATACTTAAATCAGAAAACACCAAGTTCTTCGACGGCTCTGCTTGCTGTTTTGAAGAGATAATGTAGCACAGTTTTTACAAGACCAGTACTATGGATATGTTTCTGAAGCTTCTAGCAAAGCTTTTGATGCAGACAGTGAAAAAAAAACGCACTATTGGAGTTCCACATAGATCCTTCCAAGTATATATTTTGAAATAGATTTGAACACTGGTACTATCGGGACTACTAAGCTTCCAGATCATGAGATTCTTCCTAGTTTTAATTTTAATGTGTATGTTTTTGACATGGGAAAGCCTGGGTGAGCATGCTTAGCATAAGAGTGAATATTCAAGTAAAGGACGTAATGATTGTCTTCCGGTGTTTTCAAGCTTAGCTTATAATCTTCCTGATAGTTCAGAAGAACAGCATTTAATGTATGACATCATGGAAATGAACGAAATGGGTAAGACAAAAATAAACCAACAGATTTAAAGAAAAATAAACTAGATGTAATAATAACTTCAGTATCGATTTCGTGGCCTCAAACAAACTGCAGTATATATGATTGTTATTTTACAACACACATCTATTCTGTCATGTAGGAATTCCTAACTCAAATCACCCCCGAGTTTCTGGCATACGTGGGAGATAATTTAATACTAGCGATTAGATATTAATTAATCCTTATGTTACTAATCGTTTTTAGATATAAAGACGAAGTAGTTTTAGGGGTAATAAACTATTAAATAGTTAAAAAGTGTTTATTTATATAACACTCAGTATTCAGTTTAGATTTTAATAAATTTAATTAATTAATAATATAATTTGCTCTACTGAGATATAAGACAATTTATGGAAAATTTCGGGAATAGAGTTTGTTAGCCTCGTTTTTATTCATTGTCGTCATTGACATTTGACCGAATATATTTTGATAGCAATTCTGCAAGATGACATTAATTTCGTACATTTTGATACAGACGCATTTCATTACCAGGTCAATAAACTTTTTCTTATTCACTGTTTGGTATTAGGGCGTGTCAAAACTAAATGCTATATTTCAAATATAACATCGAAGATTTGATTAGTTTTAAAGAAATTTGGAAAATGAGTAATTCTAGCTAAAAATTATTAATAATTTGCAATTATTGAATTCTGGGAAGCTCTAAATGATGTTGAAAATTTAGTCTACTATTGTTATCCCAGTACAATATAACTTGTTCTAGTCTCCGCCGATTTTGTTGATTTTTTTTAACCAATTGGTATCTAAAAATTTTCTGTTTTCAACTTTCTTTAAATTTAAATTAAAATCTCCATCTGTATATTGTACGGGAAGAAAATTTTATTATTGTCGTAAAGGTTTGAAACGCCCTGTGGAATGATTTATCAAAGTAATGAATTTATAAACAATTTTGATTCATCTTGAATCTTGATAACTTTACTTTTATTTCAGATTATTTGTTTTTGAAGAAAACAATAACGCTTTACAGTAATTTCAGCAATAATGGACACACTTCTGGACTTAAAACCAACTCTGCTTAAGTCATCATCATCATCATCAACCAGCCACTAAAGTCCACTACTGGATGTAGGCCTCCCTCGTTTGCTTCCATAACTCCCTATCTTGAGCTATGTATTTGCATCCAGTTACTGTGGATACGCCTTAAGTCCTCATGCCATCTGGTTGGAGGACGGCCTCTGCTCTTGAATGCATGTCTTGGTCTCCATTCTATTATTTTCTTCGTCCATCGGTCATCGTTTAGCCTTGCAATGTGCTCTGCCCAATTCCATTCTAAAGTAGTTATTTTCTCTATGGCATCCATGACTTTTGTTCTGTCTCGTACTTTGATATTCGGTAGGCTTTGTCTCTCAGAGATAGCCCCAACATTGATCTTTCCATTGCTTTTTGCGTTATTCTGATTTTGCTTACTGTTTTCTTGTTTAATGTTATGGTGTTATGGGTCTCCGCACCATACGTTAGAACAGGTAGCACATTCTATTGAATATTATTCATTGAATACCTTTCTCTTCAAAGATATCGGAAGTGCCCCTTTGACAATGTATTTCAATCGTCCATAGGCGGCCCAAGTCAGTCCTACTCGTCTGTTAAGTATCGCAAGTTTGGTTATCGCGGCTTATATGTATTTTGTGTCCCCGGTACTTATAAGCAGTTGTTTGTTCTATTTGTTATTGGTTAATATAGTATTCCACCACCAATTACTAGGTTTGTCATCACTTGGGGTTTTGAGATGTTGATTTTTAGTCCCATTTGTTCAGAGGTTGCATTCAATTTTTGTAACATTTCTTAGGCATTATTTACGCAATCGGATATCAAAGCAATGTCATCAGCAAATCGCATGTAGTTCAAGTTTTCGCCATTTATATGTATACCCAGTTCGTTCCATTCTATCTGTTTGCACATGTATTGGAGCAAATTATTAAATAATTCTGGACAGCTGGTGTCGCCTTGGCGAACACCTTTTTCTATGTGAAAGTTGTTAGTATCTTCATGAATCCAGAGCTGCAAGCTCACAGAAAACTTAAGTATTTTTTGACTTAAATCTTTTTAATGACTTAAATCATTTGATTTTAACTTCCAACCAATTTCTCAATTAGGCTTTTTAGAGTTTGAAGGTGCTCATTTGTGCTGAATCCGGTTTGCTCTGTCGGTTGATATTGGTCTAACTTGGCAGTCTCCCTGTTGGTAATTATTTTCGTAAAAAGTGAGATAACAGCTGCTTAAGTCATATTATTATTATTTGTACGTATAACTACAAATAATAATTTGTAGAACTACAAATAATAATAATATGACTTTTCAATAACAGTGATGAATTTTATGAGTAAATTCGAATAGTAGGTGCTGTGGAAAGACAACTGAAATTTTTAAGGGTAATTTCGAATTCCAATTTATTACAGTTTTCTTGAGGATTTTATTACCTTCAATGTGCAACGGCACTATTACATCCAATTCGTAATTTATTGAAGCCTCTCAAAATTTACAGACGACTCCATTAATGTATGTCTCGTTCTTCATTTAAAGTAACTGTTTCGCCTGTGCGTTAACCGAATATTAAGTGATTATTTTAACACATTAATGTTTTACTTATTTAACGTTCTATACGAATGAACAAACATTACATTTTTAAGTCTATTGATAGTACTATTATTCAAACATACACAGCTACAACGTATATTAAACGTTTTATGAGAAAAATTATACGAACTTTATTTGTTTATAGTCTTGCTTGAAGAGGTTAATTAGTTAATACGACTGCTTATTTTGGTTTAAATTGCTTAAATTGACTGATAAGAGGGATTTGTCTTGTCTCAATGTTG